ATCTAGACAGTAGGAGTCACTTTGACAACATATTCTTATGTACAAGAATTAAACTTTGTGTGCCCATGACTGACTTCTTAGGTAATTTACCATATATGACCATATATGGTTCAATCTTGACAGACTTACAGATCTGAACTTGACCTTACTTTTCATTGGACTGCTCATCATGTGGTTTCCAGAAGTAAAATGTTAGACATGTAATCAGTACCCATAATGAATGGATGTGAGGTACGTTGAAAAATATACACTTTGAATGTATGGTTACCATGAGGTGTGTGACCTCTGAACTTGGCACCTCCCATGACCTTGACATTGCTGTGCATTTGCTACCAATACCGATAAGTCACATTGTTGAATAGGGAGCTTACAAATATCTGGTAAAGAGTTGTAAAAGTCAATGCTCATAACTGATATTCCTGAACCTGAATCAAGCAAAGCAGCACCATTAATACCTTTAAGATCTACAGACATGTGCATAAATGTTGTTTGATTATTACAATTAAACTTTGAAAATTCTGAATCAACATGTTCACAACCAGTAGTATTATCTGAATCTGTACATGTACTACAAGACTGATCATCGGAAAGTTCAGTGACTGATTTGGATTCTAAATTAAATAAATTGCCTCTCTCCATGGGGTAGGGGGATGTGCTGCGATGGCGATGTTCGATTACTTGCGATTTCTTGAGGGGACGCGCGGTTGCTCTGACCTCGGGAATTGTCGGTTTCCCTGGTTCGAACCCAAAGCATAAATACAGTTTGAAGCACTGTATCCATACTGCGAACAAAGCGGACACTGAGTGGTGGGATCTGGAATACCTTCACCTGTCCATGTACATGCACGCTGGATATGTCCTTTACCACCACTAATATAACAATGACGCGCTGCTGAGTCCCTAAGAGATGTTTGTTTACCAGAATTTACAACTAGCTGTCCCACATCAGCACAGAGCTGTTTTACCTCTTGCCTAAGGGAGCCGACATCGGATACATCTTGTTTATATGCACAAGTCAAATCAGGAAGTACAGTCTGTGTGCGGAAACCAAGAGCTTCTCCAGTCTGTATGCGGAATCCAAGGGCTTCTCCAGTTTTTACCACAGTAAGGGTATCTGCAAAATTCTTACACCTACTTACTCTCACATAGAATGCTAGTGTTGAAGGTAGGCCATTGATAAATTTGTTCATAATATCGCGTTCTGGCTTCCCTAACTTGCGACCCGTCTCTAGAATGATACTGTTATAGTCCTTAAGGGGCTGGGATGGTTGCAATATCAATAAATCAAACATGACCGATTCCATTATCAAGTTGGGGTCTAAATGAGACCGGTGGATATCCATTTCTTTGAAATCAGCTTGGATTGAAGTCCACGACGTTTTGGTGGCCTCCGAGAGTTGGCCATACCAAACTGAAGCTGGTCCGCGAAGGTGAAGAAGGAATGCCGCTATGTACCGTTCATGATCCCGGGCGACTCCAAGAAAGATGGTATAGGAATGAATCTCGATCAGAAATTCCTCACCATTTTCATACGAATAACCATGAAATTTTGGTAGTGTTAGATCACTGACGCTCACCGACGGTTGATAACGAGTCTGAGTGGGCAACACTGGTACCAACGCGGGCGTACAAATAGGTGGCCCGCGACTCTGGGGAGTTAAATAAGACGAATCCATCACAGGATCCCTGTGACGACTGTGGTCTAAAGATGGCGGGAATATCGTTCGTAGGCCTATTATTAATGATCGATATCTTGGCATAAAGTTCAAATATACAAAAAATGTTACTATAAACAACAGTTCTACACATTTGATGCATGTCGATTGGAATTTCCACCATGTGATGAATAACAAATGTGAGAGGGGTTCATGTACGTCAGCCATGCATCTTATTTATCTTCTACTAATACAAAAAGTGATTGCCGGTTAGCTTTATCCGGACTTAGGTACAAACTAATAAAATTATATACAATATTTTCAAGATTTCAGTAATCTCTTTTTGACCATTGCCTAGTTCTCTATGCCCAGTACACATACAAATATAGAATCACAACAATAATACCTAACTTGAAGAAGATATTGTTATCAAGGAACTCGATCATTTTTTATGATTACGTCCTCCATAACACGCCAGTATCGTTCACAATCGTATATTGATACTGCCGTTCACATTGGTGTTTTATTTTATTATTATTTTTTTACTTGTGCCCTTATAAAAGGAATGATTTTAGATGAGGGTGTTCCAGTTTGATCAAACGCTATTTTTATGATCTTCAAACTCCATGTAACGCTATTTGATTAGAACGTATTTTTACAATGACCCTGATTTAGTAATAGTACTAAAAATTATTGATGTCAGAAGCTTTGATAACGGTTGTTTTTATGGATCCTTGTGAAGTCGATGAATCCAATATAAACGAGTGGGGTCCGTAGCAGCTTCCCTAAATATAATTCTAAACAGTTTTAATACTGATTTTAAATTGATAATATATCGTCTTTGGAAAGATGTGGTAATGTTTCCTTAATTATCGGGCAAGACTGTTTTTTTCTTATGAAGGAAAAAGGACAAATATCTTCCTCTGTAGACATAGTAACACATTTATCATGCACATCGTAACAATTGATTTTGATATCAATGTTAATTATGTGATCCCTGTCTTGATTAAATGAAATATCTTTCTATTCAGATATTTACATTAATCGGCGATTTCCTGTTTACTTAAGCATTTACTGTATGCGGTCGTAATTAAATGGTTTTGCTGAAATTTGATCCTTCATACATTGTATCGTCAGTAATGTTTTTTTTAAATCCGCATATAATTAACCTGTTCAGACCTGGTCGCCGTTGTTCGTAACATTATGAATTTTACTAGTGTTTACCGTATTCAATATAGGAATCGTTATGATATGGTCATTTTCTCAGACGTACACTTTAAAAAGAATGTTATCTTAACCATACTAAATAAAATATCTAGGGCATGAAGCCACGTACAAGCAGAATTATTAACAAGTAAAACCTGCTTCACATATACTTAAACGTCTTATATATTAATGCATTATAATCAACTGATGTCGTTTTGCTGTAGTCAGAGCTATTAGATACCTGCAATATGATGAAAAACGTACGTGACAAGCTGCCGACCCTATATCTACTAAGAGGATAAAGAAAGGCATCTTCTTCTTTAGTTTAATAAATTGATATCGATGAGCAATATGCCTAAATAGAAATGCAATCGTAAACTTCGAAAATTTGACCATCCGACAGTTGTCAGATCGATCCCCAATATCTTGTTCTCCTCGAACAGTTGACTGTTCGCAAAGGAATAATTTCCGTTCCTCAGTAAGCTTTGGCCAATTATGGGAGGTTATTTGGTATATTTTCTCGATTCCGAACTCTTCTGTCTCATTCATTCCACAAGTTTTCTTCAAAAACGTCTGCAAGACGCTCTCCTCGACGCCGTCGAGATTCCACCGTGAAGAGCATGGACCTCAAAAGTCTGGGTACATGTGTCGTCAACCATCCCATATGTCGTTCTCGACATTAAGGTGTTAGTAGTAGACCGACGTACTGGCGACATGTGCGTAATTTTTATCCCTCACTGTCTATTTCTCACAGTTTTTGGTGGATTCGACGGTTTCCATTACCAATGATATTTTGTGCCGTTTCGGATGCCGTTAATCTCCTATCACACAAGTTGGCAAGCCTATTGAACCGATCTTGATCTCTCTACCCATGACTTTGAGACGTAAAACTTACCGACTTGTGAACTCCAAAGTAAGTAGCGACCAGCTGTTGAGTGCTACCTCCCATTAGCTTTGCGAGAGCCATATAGTGGGGATTAAGTAAGGTGCCCTAATTTTCCTCTGACTTTTTATGTTATGTATTTTCAGCAATTAATGAACTTTAACCTAAAGTGTCAATAGTTAACCTGACGTTGGTGAAAAAAATTACGTTCTACTTTTTCAGCACTAAAACTTCGTCAACATTGATGACTTCAGCAGTTTAAGTCTTACTCAGGTTAAGTGGGGTTTTTTTACCTTGGCGTCAATAACCTTGCTCTGTTAAAATACACATCTTTCGCTGACGCTTAGATCAGACAATTAGACAATTTTGATTTTGGAAAGAGATTAGATACAACGTGACGTGATGTCATCAATACTGGCATTGGATTAACTGTGCTTTAACTCCGAAGAAGATGTTCTTCTAATTTGTAAAAGTGTATGGAGGTGTACAACTTTGTTTAAATCATATAGAAGAAATAAGGATTTTGACTTCCAATACATTTGTATTTAAATACATGTTGAGACTAACATACGTGTTGACAGTACGATATTTAAAAATCTTCAAGGTGATATATACCTCAGATTATTATATAGCATCTACACTGTTAAATATTCCTTTTTTAAGTAATCGAAGTGATGAAAGGTATCCATGGTGCTGTAACAAGGCACAAACAAGAAAACTTTATGATTCACGAGATCACATGTAACGAACCTTTGACCTTTGACGTGTCTTATAAGATGGGTTCTGCAATGATACGCATACCGTACCAAGACATCGCTCACATAGCTTTTCTCGTGGATATGAGCTGAATTATTAATAAGAAAGACAGAAATGCCAAGGTGAGTGACATTTGGATGGGCGATACAGTCAAATAATCCCAATAACATTAGAACTGTGTGAATTCTGTGATACTGGATATATTCTCTGATTGAGTAAAGTACAGACTGTACAGTTAATCAACAGATAATTGTAAACTTTCTGTCGTTATTTGTTTATTTAATAAATGACATATTTCAATTTTAATTGGGGTCTTGTTATTTTTTTCTGTTTGCAAGTTGCAACCTGCCTACAAACACAACACATTCTTTATTCGATGTGGCGTTAACAAAACCATTACGATAAGACAAACAGCTTACTTTTCAATAATCTACTTTATTAATCATCAGACAAGAAAAAAATATCTTCCTTCGCGCACATTCCATATGATGCAACGACCTTTAGATCAGACAATCAACGCACGCATCTCTCGGTAAAGCTCTGCTCAGTACCGTTGACTTGTAAAAGACGGTTAAAGTGTTCGCTGAAGACAAGAAATATAGTAAAAGTAAGAACATTCATGTATTCTTTTCTATGTTTAAATCAATCAATTAAAATACATTTAAAAATTCATTGCATCTCTATTTATAAACATCAAAGGCGATAAGGATATATAATAATATAGAATGTAACATATTTGATTTTGATACAAAAACTTATATTACATCTATAAACATGAAATAGACATTAATGACTTTTGAATTTTGTATGCTATGTTTTGATTGTGTAGCTAAGACCATGAGTACTGATTACACTGTACTAGCCACATATACGTTTACTACCATGATATATAATACTTACCAGTCTCGTAATAATCGCACACTGTCACAGGTACTTTTTTAGCATTCGCCACGATACTGCTCCGGTAAACCTGTACAGTCACGCAGCTTTCATCGTTTGTTACCTGCAACGGTACCATTAGAGAAATTAAAAGAAATTCAAATGGACAAATCCAGATACAACAAGAACCGAGCTAGGAACAACACTACGAATAAAAAGGCATTATAGACTCTAAAAACTATGTTGAACCGAGTTACTTTCTAAATCTTATAAAAGAGCATAGATTTCTTTCAGCATGACAAAATAAAAGACTGTTGTGCTATTGTTTAAAGCTCAGTTTGATACAGTATCAACACGTATAATAACCGAGACAAATAATGGGTGTTTAAGTACTATCTAAAAGCCATCAGGTATAATGTAAAAAGTATTAAGTAGAATATGTGTTTAGCAGAACATAATGACTTACGTAATCAAAGTACATCTCTATGTCTTCGCCATTCTGCTCTGCTCGCTTGAATGTTGCGGCTTCATTGGTTCCAATTGACTTAATATCACCCTCCATACCCGTTGGGAAGCCTACCTTCAACAAGGCCATGGTGCTGCGTCCCTTACGTACCCATCTTTAAGGAATTCGGGATATCAAAAAAGATAATATCTAATGTTTACTACTTTCTGCTGCCAGCAATTTATTTTACAAGTTATTTTTGTGAATTAATGACAATGGTTTTAGTGTAGCGAAGTATCGTATGTTTTAAGTAAAAAGGATTATGTTAATTTCGATAGCACACAGAACAACTATAATAACAGTTTTGTAATTTTCAGAAAAAATGATATAACTGTTATTGAATCAATTTCGAAATTCATAAACATCCAAATAAGGCATAGTATAATAATGTCAATTATGGCTTCACAAAACATACCTGAAACAAATATTAAGTCTAAAACCCTCCATTGTCTCGTTTTCTAACGTGACATTCATGTCGAACGCTGGCACACGAAGTTCTCTCAACACGTTAAAGAAAACCGACACCTGTTATAAAAAGGATCTTAAATAAGCAAGTCATGTCATCTTTCGCTCATTTATTATATATTTTCTTCCATCGATCATTTGGTTGACATTCTTTTCAGTGAAATGCTTACATTCAATTAAATTGTTATGTTTTCATCTATTTCATTCAAAAACACCAATTCGGATTACCAAAATAAATATCTAAATTCACAAATCCAGTATACAAAACAAAGCAAAAAACCAACAACAAAGAAAATCCGTATATATCAAAATAATTTTGATTTAAAATAAAATTTATCGATACAAGGACAATAATGAAGAATAAATTATCGAAAACCCCTTGAAAAAGTACAAGTTAATATCAGAAAGGATAGCAGGCCTTTTCTGCTTTATCGACAGCTCCCGCCACGTATACCAATGCAGCTCAATCTAAGTAACATGATTCACGTTCCCGAATGAAACCAACAACGGAAGAGCTTAGAACGCTAACGAGCGTTTCTTTATCACATAAGGAAATAGGATATTCCCAAATGAGACCATTCTGACCACCAAAGAAATACCAATCTAATTAAATAACCAGCATCTCCCAGAGCCAACGAAATTGCTTTGCCTTCATGACATATATACGTTATTTAGCATTTCCTCAAATTTACCTCCAATAGACATATTCCAGTTCCAACAGCACTGACTGTAAGTTCTTCATGATTTTGTTTATATGGAATCTGTTAATAATATGAAAGTAATTAATAACAAAATAATAGGTGAAAGTTTATCTTGATGAGTTCCTTTTTATAATAATGAAATGTTTAATGGAAGTAAAGGTTGAAACGTTCACCAAATATTTTGAATTTCATCAATATCTATGAAAATTTAGGTTTTATTCAACGTTAACGCTCACACAGACTTTTTATTTTATTCTTCTATTTCTACATCATAATGCATTCAACTGACTAATCATTGATTATCCAAAACATGCATCAAGTCGATTTGTAGATGTAAGCATAACAAGTTTTCCGTTGACAAGCGTAAGCTTGCATGATTGACAAACCAACCATAGAGTTATTAAAAACATAAAAGACGCTTGTTTAATAACATAATCCCCCCTCCCTTCCCAAAAACATAATCATGTAACTGACATTTTCCGTCAATATATCTATAGAGTGTTTGATATGACATTGGAATCGCTTGCATTTGTACTTGGGTACGTAATATTTTCCAATTTGCTTTAATCATAAATCTTAGCTCTTCCCCTTTGTTTTCCCGGATTACAAAAAACATGAAATATGACTGCTTCTACTGATAGTACCAAAATAATCACAAAGATTAACTTTATCTATTGACACAGGTCAGTTAGAAATTTATTTCTGAATTATATGTTACTATATGTATACCTCAGCTATCTGAAGAACCAGGGCATTTGCATTGGTGATCGTGAAGCCATGACAGTACGATCCGGAAGAAGATTTTACAATGACGTTTAAAGCAAAGTTGTCTTGATACACAAACTCTGCTAGTGCCGCTAAGGCTTGAAGGGCGACAACTGTGTCCTGAAACAAATGCATTTTACCTAGACATTTTAACATACTATCGTTCATTATTTATCAATGATAATGAATTTATTTTCAACAAAATCTGACACAAGACCGTCTTTTGAAGTTTCTAAATCTAAATGTTATCAATAAATCATCTTGATTACTTTTATTCCAAATGTTGGTATACCATATCGATTTACCTGTGTTGAAATAAATCCACCTTTGGAATTCTGTTGTGTTACCAGCCACTTTAACATCTGCAGACTGTTTTCAATGTCGTTTCTCTCAATGAAGGCTAGCATGATATAAGCTGTGACCTCGACATCGAGAGCCCTTGACTTAGTTATTGGTGGTTGCCAACTTGATTTAAAGGGTGATAGAGATTCGGCTTCGTCATCAGTGAGAATCCAGTATTTTTTTCCATCTATATGTTGGTCATACATAGAAATATAGCATAACAATATCTAGATAGAAATTGCATATATTGAACACTGTACAAGTATAGCGAATCACATATCTTCTTCACAAAATCTTTTGGGATATGGAGATAGAAAGTCTTTCGAAAAGATTCGAAAAGATAGTCTGTTTTCTTGAATTAAAACCGAAATAACAAACAGATATTGGTGTTCAAGTGGTTGCTGTCCTTATCAGAAGGATTTTGTTAAGCAGATCTGATAATTCTTAATGTATCCGTAAGTTCATGATCACACTACATCACTTACAAAAACTTATATGATAGGAACACTTGAAAAAGCCATGGCAGCATACCTAATACGGCAGACTAAGCAAAGTCCCGTTAAACATGTGCTCGCTCGTCCAAATCTAATCTTATTATTTTAGAAATACCTTTTTTTGCAATCGACGAAGAGGTCTTTGTTTCTGTTTATCATTATCTCATGATCTCGATTATTACAGTTATATATACCTTCAGATACAGGATGATGAGGCTTTTGAAAATGTTTGAAAAACCAGAACCTTGCACTTAAAACACGATATGTTATTGTAAATTGAACCAAAATACTTTACGAGTTTTTCTTACAAGCAGAAAATGTTGCTAAAACATTTACCTTTTCTTAATTAATTTTCTGTTGTCAGGTTATTGTTATTATTATCATGCTATTTAAACAGATCTGGCCTAAACGGTTCGATTCAATAACGCCTGTCGTCTTGTTTGATTTGAAGAATATTTCTATATCAATGTCAAAGACTATAAACTCGTTATGTAGTACTACAATAATTGAATATATTGTATACACTTGCCGAAATATGACTTTAAACAGTTTTATTATTAAATCCCCTAAGTAGAAACTAACTTTCCACCGTTGCTCTCATCTCCAATGCAGCTAGAATGTCTTTCAGTATTTCCGAGTCTTTGTTGACCAATGTCAAAGCATATGCGGTGATTCCAAGTTCATAAGTGTTTTCAAAACTTTCGATACCTCCACTTGTAATATAATTGATGGCACTTAAAATCGATTGGTTGACCTGTTCTGAAATCTAAATTCAAAGCATTGATAAATATTGTTAATATGTTGATGTAACAATGCATTAATTGCAAAGAAGGAAGATTATTACATAGGAATGTTCCATTTTGGGGTGTGAAACCCTGCAAATCCAAAACATATACTTCTTTACTCAAAATACTAATAAAATATCGATTATTAGATATTGTTACATTTACCATAGCAAATGCAAAACATATCCAATAAAGTGCTAAAGCATCTGATAAACGATAATGTTATCAAGATCATATTTTTATTACACTTTTAGTAATTAAAAGCCACATTTGAATGTGAGGCTAACTCCCTGCATGTCAATAAAGGAATCGTTTATTACTAATCGCTAATCATTGTTATAAATGTTTTTTGTAAAAGTGGAGCGCAACATCCTTATCAATGTCGATCTCCTTATAATATCGAACATTTTATATATATATATAGCCATTTTACAAAAATAGCCAATATCAAAACGTATCTTACATTTGCGCTCGCAAAACCCATTCGTTTTGCCTCTGCTAATGCTAGAACTACAAACGAGGTCAGTGATCTAGACGATGAAGACGATCCACCCTAGAACGAACAAACACAATATCACAACCACTGTCTTAATCAATATCATGATTAAAAGTATAACTATATATTTTTCTTATCAAAACATTCAATATATTTTAAAACAACAAAGAATAAACACACACGTGAACAGTACATTCATTCAAATTAAAACTCAATGAAACTAAGGCAGGCTTGAACAAGAAGAAAATTTACACGGAGACAACTGAAAAAATAAACGGAGACCAGGTGTTCCAGAGGAGTAAGAGTGTTCTGCTCAATCGACGCTATGTCCATCTTGGTTCATCAAAATCAATCATTTTAAGTCCCAAAGGAGAACAAAGTAATGAATAACTGAACCATGGATTTATAATATCAGCTTAACGTAAAAGCGTTGCAACATTTCAGTCACTATATGATATATGGCACATCTTTAATCAAACATTTGAATTCACAACGTTATGATGTTATCCTGTCTGTTCAACATTTGAAGTCACTATGTCAAAAGAAATTTATTATACTCTGCAGAAATTAATCAAGCAAAACTGGAATGCAATTTGATGAAATTTCAAAATCACGAGGTCGACCTCAACGTGGAAAAGTAGGTAGGCCACGATGATGTACTGGTTGAGAGTTCCTTTCATCTGGAGGACGCTTGATTTCCTCCATCAAGCCATTTTGTGGGTGTCATCTACCTATGCGTTATGAAAAATGTTCCAGAGATTTTTAAAGCACGTAATTACTTACTTGTACTAATGTTATGATTTCATTTAAAACAGAAGGGTTGACTTGCCTGCATTTCTTTATGTATCACATTGCCCGGCTCATTAAATGAACCGTCTTCACTTTGTTGTCCTAAGAGAAACAGGATAGCACTGGACATCACACTTGGGTCTATGTATATGTCTTCGTTAGCCTGAGCAAATGCTTTGACAACAAATGCTGTTAACCTGTGTTCAAATGGGCAAAAGGTAGTAAATTGTTTCGATTAAGAATTTCAGTTTTGTTTCTATTACGCCAAGTTATAGAAAGTACAACACAACTTAACTGACTGGTGTTTTAATGATCGTTCTAACAGTATAAATAAATTGTTCAAAGTATAATTTATAATTTCATTATTCCCATCCCTATTTAAAAAAAAAAGAATACAGCGATAGACAACGATATACTGTAAATTCACATATATTCATGTGAATAATTAATTTTTAATGGTTTTTAAATAAGATTAGATTAGTAATGCCAAATACATAATAATTAGTATTTGCTTGTCTACACTTTCTAAATATCCGAGTAAATAACGAACGATGTATAAATTATCAATGAAATTATCATAACATTTTGGAAAAAAGATTACCAAGTGCTACCACTGCTATCGTGGTTCCCAAATGCGCTGAATGATCCAATATCACGTCTGTAAATCAGCTGCCTCTGATACCCTGAAAAAAACGGCTCAAAGTAAATTTCAGAATTGCCAATATTCAATGACAACCAATACACATATCAAAATTGAATGAAGGTATAAAATATTTGCATTCGATATTCAAACATTTTGAAAAACTGAGTAAACAACAGATCGCATACAATTTATCAATTATTATTAACAAAATTACTAGCGACAGTATAATGTCACATGAAAGGATTCCATTAATAAAAAAAACATCCTTCTGTAAATAATTGATAACTAACTTGATATACCTGAGAGCAAGTGGGAACAGTAAGTATATGGAAGGAAGAACGTATCTAGAGTACAAGTCTTAAGGATTATATAAAAGACCAAAAATAAAAACCACCTTTCAAATACAAATTTTGAGTTGCATCAAGAAGACATAACTAATGCAAACAACAGATGAGCTCATCAGTGAAATTAAGGGCTGGGTTGCTTGACAAATATATACGTATGTGAATGATACAATATTATCTGTAAACTGATATTCGGCAATTTAATCATGAGCCATAAAAAAAATCAAAAATATGCACTATACTAACCTGAGTTCAGTAACCCTTCTACTTTTATCTTTATCTCTACAGAGAGTCTGTTTGTGGCACGGAGATATCTTGTAATAAATACATTAGGAACAAATTTCATAAGATTTTGTTCTCCGCAGCCATATGACATCTGCAAAAGGTCCTCGATACCAGCCAGAGGTGGTCCCATAATATCACCTAAGAAGTAAGATTGAGTAAGATGTTAAAAACAATTATTTCTAACTGGTAGTCCGTCTGAACCTTATATTGCAAAGAACTAACAACGAAGTTTGCATTTTGAACTGTTCCTGACTGACAATGTTGCGTTTCCATCCATTGCAAAAAGACATCAATGTATCATATTAAATAGTGATATATTATATCATATTTGAAAATTAATTTAAAAGAACTTGACGATATATATAGTATGCAATTATGTTATAATGTTTTTATAACTCAATGAGTGCAAAATGCATGGAAACAGACCTATCTATGAAACCTATAGATATCATTAACCAATGACATGCAATTCATACTTTTTTCCATTATGTCAAATATGCCAACAAAATATAATGTTTATTTTGCCATGTATAGCGTTGATACTACTCATTTAGCTCATGTAATACAGGACATGCTTAACTAACATACACGTTTCTCGGCAACCCGGCTCGAAAATTTAATATTGTGCTTGGCTGATATCAATTCATCCTGGGACCGGATTTTAGCATTATGGTTGGACGCTTCCGTTAACGGCTTGCACAACACCTAACTGTTATTTATCGTAATAAAGATATCTTTTAAGATTGTTTGACAGTTGAAGAGTTATTCTTGCTTTCTTTTTCAAAATATATGATAACAAAATTATGATATGACTATTTTGATGTCACACCAATTATCAGGACAACCCGGACAATCAGCCGCAAGGCCGAAGTATGATATCACAATAATCATATATCAAGATCTATTTCACCTAAATGTATCTCTATGACGTCAACACTTATGCCTTAACATTTTGATGAGTACGGAATGAAATATGTCGTTTCTTTACCTATAACTGATACTTGAATATATTCTGACTCAGGCACATGTTCCTCGGGAAATGTTATGCTGATTGATTCGTTCACAGATTCATCACATTTTAAGACTTTCAGAGACGTTATGCTGTATGACTGACGAATGCCTTCCGCCTACAATCACATTAATACATTGTTAGACCTACGTATTCAGGAAAGCATTTGAAATGTACCATAAGGGTATTGTAGTTTCACATTTTCGAAAGAAAATTGAATTACGAGTTTTTTATTCACATTAACAATAATACATATTTTTCTCTATTTCTTGAATATTTGAAATTGTTTTTAGCAGAATTGAAACGGCTATTTTCCAAGGTAAATTGAGTTATGTATTTCTCATAAAGAACAGAAATGTTAATAAAATACGTTTGATTCTTTTCTTGAGCATCCCAACATTAATCGTTTGGAACTAACAACAAAGTTCTTGGAAAAACTTTGATATCTATCAGACTGGAAATTATTACTATATATATCAGATATCACGGAATACAACTTACTTTCGCTTTGATAGACTTTGTGATAGCATCAATACGTCTGCGTGTCCCCTTCGCCCTAGCCAATACAGTGATTTTCAACTCCCCATTCAAGCAAGGTATGATTGGAAAATATACCGTACCGATGTCATTGGAATTAACTTTTATCGGCTGTAAAAATAACTTTATACAGTTACTGTCACAAAACAAATATGTAGTAGATTCTGACACCGTACTTGCATCAATTACCCGTTAAACACTATAAGTGTAGGTACGCATATGCCAGGCATGCTTTTGACATTTTACAAGTCTTTACATGCTATATGGACTTGGCATTGTGAAAATCGCGATGTACCTAGGTCACCTGTACATTTGAGTATGCATATTGGTCATGTGGCCTTTTCATGACGGCCTACTGAACTTCGTATATCACTAGTTTGTATTTTAAGTCTCTTGTGCTTTTTACCTCTATAATTGAAAACCAGGAATATCCGAACAACTCTTTGACCAGGTATATGCGTATACATCACAGAGGGCTAATTAGTTAACTTTATTCTCAAAATCTTTTTACGAGAATACCTGATACAGAAAAGTATGCTATTTCACACTATCCCTAATTTAATCTTTAAACGCGGTATGTACACACCTTATGCCATGCTCTACGATATGTTGGTGTGAACCTCGTGCCATTCGCATTAGCGAAATAGAATCTCTTCGTTTTTCTCAGTATGATCACAACCTAAATAAAGGGAGAGAATTTGTACATCGTTTCATATTATAGTCGCAGTACATCGACTGGGTATATGTGATTCGTGAGAGTTTTACTGGGAATATTTTGATCGATAGAATACCATAATATGGTCAAAATACAGCAATATAATAGTTTGACTACAGTGATTCCCACCTTTTATGTCAAGTTAAAAGCATTTGGTTTTTAACATAGTAAATAATACATGTAATCAAAACACGACAAGAATTAATTGCCATAAAACATTTTAAGTACCTGGAAATCCTTCAAGACTAAACAGAAACAAAACCGGAAGAAAAACTATGAACTTACTTCAATAGCCTTGTTCCCATAATTAAAGAAGTTTGCTTCGATAACAACCATCTCTCCCCTGACTGCACAACGAGGTACAGTGATTTGGATGAACTCTTTCAAAACCACCGTGATCTTTAGAAGGTAGAAATAAAGAAATGTATTTATGTAAAAAACAATCGATAATTCCAAATCACTTTGAAGGCAATTATGATCAGCATACATTTTGAAAGTGGAATTCAGAGTTATTTGTGAGTTGCATTTCGTGCGAATTAATAATCTTATGTTGATAACACGTGGAACATCTTACTTTAAAGTATAGCTTAATGTGATGAATATGTTTTTACGTAAATATTGTACAGACGGGGGTAGATTGGCCCCGTGATAATAATTTAATTTTTTTACTTCAGCTGTTGATGTGGCTACACCAAGTCCAGTCTTTTTGTCGGATGCAAACATTGATGCTACCCATGTCGTCATACTGTCAGGCGTTTTACGAGAAAGTCTTGCCTCTCCATTGTATCTGAAATGATATTCATTACTAACAGTTATCACAATTACTACGTTATTGTTAGGATTATAAATAGAGTCTGAGTGAGCGATGTGTTGAAAAGAATTAATTCTTATATGTGACATGATTCAAATATCAATTTATCGGGGATTTTTTTATATTAAAGTTATGAACAGAGAAAGAAAACTTATAGGAATCAAATGTCATAGCAAAACAAAAATGATATTAATAGTTGACCTAAAGAAATCATTACTATTTTGTGTGGAATGAAAATTATTCAAACCATCAAAATGTTTGTACATGCGCATAATAATGATTGGAAGTTAGTAATTAAAACGTTCGTATTACATTCTGATACTGAACGATAATTTGCTAGAATGAAATACAGTGACACCTCACTATTAAAGCCACCTTAGGGAATGGACACAAATGACTCCATAGCGGGACCACTTTTGTCCATATTTTCATCGTCAATAAACTAGCCCCTTGACTGTTTTACATTAATCACTCAATGCCTATATCTGAAAGACCGTTTGAAACCTAAATACACCTACACATATACATGACGGAATATACACAACGTATCTGCGTGAGTTTTTGTGACTGGTTATTTTTCGCAGGTACACTTCAATGTAAAAATGGCGAGTCAAATTAAATTAAAGACATAGAAAAAACATGCAATGGTACTTACCTGCAAACTTTCAACAGAAAGAAAAAATATTAAAATCAAAGTGTGGACTGATAGGAGTTTGGGTAAATGTTTAAGTGAAAGTGTAAGCAAAAAAACGAACTCCGCAAGTACAGATGTCCAAATCCAAGTTTCCGGAAACCGTTTCCTTACACGTGCTCTAGTGCCGACCATTGCCGAATTTTCCTTTGCTTCCTTTTGTGGAATATTACCTTCAAGGAAAATGAAATAAAAGAAATCGAAATAGCATTAATCGGCTCTCCTACGAACCGAAATATGTTACTAATTTTAATTTCAAGACTTTGACATGTGAAACCCAACCCCAGATATATCTGCCCAAATTCATGTCCCCGGAAATATGTTTCGAAACCGCACAGGTGAAGTGATAGGCTCTACTTTCTCCTTAGTCATCTTTTTGTTGCTTCTAATGCATATCTCCGACGGCAGCAATCGGAGTGAGAAAGTCAAGTACTTTTAGGGAGAAATCGACACAAAATATGTTATTCTAAGGTGAACCAATTCTGTCCAAATCCAGGTTTCAAAGAACTTTCGACTGATTCACGATGTAGTACTTAACGGGACGATGGTGCTTCAGCCGATGCATTAAGGGTTGAAGCCGTTAATTGTTGCGTTGCTGGGACAGTTGTCTGTGATTTTTTTTTTATTATTATTTTTTTCCTGACACTGCATAACTTACATGTCATACTTCACATTTAGATAGCAGAACTGAATCAAATCTTATTATTATGAATTTACTAAAATATATTCGGATCAGATATCAAATTATTTCGTTACAGATCCATACATTTTTAATTTCAACCCCACCGCTTGGCTGTAGACTTGACAATGATACTGGTGCCTTTGTGGGAGGTAGCACTACTAGTCTAGTTTCAAACAAGAAGAATTTCTTTGCCGTGAAATATTTCATAAACATATAGCATTGAATCCTGCAACAGGAACGTGTATTTTATGGCCTATTTTAATTATAATATTCTGCTTCTTGTAAGCTCTTACTTGTTGAGAATTTTGCCAGTTTTTTATACACATAACTCAAAACATGATGCTTTTCATAACCGTGAAACGTCATCAAGTCGGTCAAACAGGTCATTGTATCAAATGTCTTACCTTCAAAGTTTAAGTTGCGGGTTATCGTTAAGTCAGTCATTACAACTACTCCAGTGTTCTGAAAATTAACAAATAGACATACTTAAAATTTTGAATAGTTTCCATATTGAAATTATTCTTGTTCGATTTTAACCGTTTTTTAATCTAAAATAATTGACAGTAAACAGTGCGAAATAGAGATATTTGAAAGATTTCATCCTAAATCCCTGTACCTTTCACCATTTACTTCATGCTTTAATATCTTAAGTTCTTGATATCAAACGTGATATGGTTTTGTCTAAAGTAAAGTGTGTGTTTAAATTGAATACACTTAGATTAAATAGACATTTTTTATAAAAAGATATTAATGAGAAAAGCTAAGTTTCTTTTTCTGGTTTATACTTAGTAAGGTAGTAAATGCTTATTGCGTTAGATATAATATCAGGAAGTTACCAGGAAAATAGAATATGTGTCGGTATCCCCAATGGGAATGGGCAACCATCGGATAGATCTTAATCCGAAATTTGGCTGATCGTTATAAAGCTGGATCTCATTCTCAACCTAAAACATGGAAATAGGTGTTAATGTTTTCGTTTCAAAAATTAAAAATCAGTTTAACAGACGTAATCGATATTTACTAGCCTTGTTCTTGTCAGGGAAATATTGTTTGATAACGACATTAGTAAATCAATTAAACGATTACGTAATATTGTATCGGTAACACTTAATGGTAGCTTTCATACAAATGCCGTATAAACGTTCAAATATTACAATATTTGATTACAATAATCGGATAAATATTTTCAACAACCGTACATCATCTTGTGTTATATCGTTTCCCTTCTTCAGCAGGAGTACTTTTTTGTCTATCGCTAAGATGTGCATCTCAGATCCTGGTGCAGCCTTCAGATGCAAGGTTACATCAGTGTTTGGTTTTGCCCTCGCCTTATTGAACTTCAGAGATGCCTGTGAAAACAGATCTCAAAGTTATTCTTTGTCTGGATTTGGATATAGAAGTAAATATGACCAATATGAAAAAAATAAAACAGAGACAAGGTCAAAGATTGCACAAAAGACTCACAACTCATCAAAGCTCGTTTGAAACAAATTTAGAATAAGATGCAGTAAAACTGCATCATACAGCTGTTCCTTCTAGGACTCGTCACTGATGCTAAGGGCCTAAATTTGGAGCCTAGGAGGCAACTAAGGAAAATCGAAAAGAAAGTCAAAACATAAATGAGGAGGTTCACTAGCCCCATAATTCCATTTTCGTAATTTTCATATATCTGATAATTTTAGAAAATACCAAGTGCATCAGTTCGTTCTAAATCTATTTCAAGTAATCAAAACGTGCCATGCAATTCATGGCAAACCACGTGAACTTTTATTAAAATCACTTCAACCCGCAATCTCGAAAATTGCACAGAAGACACAGAACAGTACTTCTTGATACAAACTTAGAGTTAGTTACAGTAGAGTCAAACAATTAATTGAACTGCATCAAAGTGTTATGTCACGTTAGAAATTAGAACAAGGTTAACAATAGCGAAATAACCAGGTATGCTCACGAGCATTAAACACATATTGCAAAACTATAAAGTCTCCCAATGGCCAAATGTGACAAAAAATAAAACGGCATACAATCAACGTTTCATCACATATTATTGCATCAGTTGATTTGTTTCGAGGGTTTACGTTGTCACCAGCTAAGGTCGTCCACGAATGATAATGTTAAAGACGCAGTAATCGTAGGTTAGTAGTTTGAGTGAACCGATCTTTTCCTCTACTGTAGTTGTTATAAGTAAATTACACATGGGCGAAGTGTCGGTCTGCGTTATCAAATATATTTGTTTGAAATGTAGTGACTTTCAGTGTCGACCTCTATATGATTTGAATGAAACATCCGTGAATAATAGTGACTATTTGAAGTAAATGTATATCAATGTCAGGGCCTTTTAACTGGCTCAGTAAATGAGGCCCGTCCTGTAAATCCAGAGCAAAAAAGGTTGAAGTGTCCGTTTCTAAGCTTGTTCAGGAACATCAGTCGCAACTTGAAGGAAGCTGAATTGTTATTTTGTCATAGATACTATTCCAAAAAATACGTAAAAACAACAAGGAAAAACCAATATGTCAAAAAAAAATTTGATACATGACGACATCTTGATTTAAACTTTAAACGCTAAAATATGATAAAACTATACAAAAACCAACTGCACAAAACCTAACAGGAATAAGATTAGATATACCGGAGGGTAAGAGACTTTGGCCGCTCGAAGGCACCTACTATAAATATACTAACTCACCTTATTTTTAAATAGTCCGTCCACAGCTATACTGATGGAATCTGAGACGACTTCCCCATCTCGAAAGTAGTAGACCAAAAGCTTTGATTTTGGTACCATAGGCTGTGTTAGTTTTACTCTGAATACTTTGGATGTTTTCTTCGTACCCCTAACATAAAGTTTTTTGCGCTTGACCAACACACCTTTAGATAATATCTGTACAATAACAATGAAGATTAGCCATTATACATCTAAATTTATTCTTTCACAATTATATGTTGAACATTTAGTAATGATTATGTTGACATCATGGTATTTTTGTGTTGTGTTTTGTAAATATCAGTCGATACCATACTGATAATTATCTAACATTTGACCTTTGCATATCTTGGTAAAATCCTTAGGACATTGAATATCATTGATTATAATCAGAATTGTCCTTGGTTAGCATATGACCTTCGAATCAACCTGGAACCTAGAAAAACTTGTATAAAAAGTATATAAGGTCCCAAAATTTCTAGAGCGATGTTACTGACTTATCATTGAACTTGACGAAACATGCATAGATAGCATAAAATGGTTTTAACATGTTTTACGATATCAAAGAAAAACACATCATTTTAACGATTGCACAAAAGACACAAAAGCGAACAGTGATTAGTCCTTGTACGATACCATTCAACTGAAATGGAACACACATATCAGATTATCCGCATTAGGGAAAAGGTGATCTGTCTTAAAGATAGGAATGGCACACGAATTGATTTCGTTAATATGAAGCAATAATGCTTTTTGGCATACCTGAACGTCCACAAAAGACATGTTCTTTGTTGACTTCAGTTCAAACTTAGCCCATGATTCAGCCTGTGCAAGAAACAAATTGTATTACCTATATTGAACACCACACTAATTTTCCTACTTCCTTTCAAATAGATATTACCATGAATTCAAGAACATAATTATCAAGAACAATATACACTTATAGCTGTAGATAAGATCAACTCAAGTGGCCTCTAAAAGTGGGAAATATATACAGGTTCAAGACGGAACTTATATCAGAAACTAACACAAATGATATTTAAAGTCATTTATTTGTTGTCACAAGGCAAACTTATTTTATTCAATTTGGTACTGGTAGTTTCACATTACCTGTAACATTGAAGGTTTTGATTTCAATCTGACTTGTACGTAAGAACCGCTCGGTGACTCTGCTCTTTGCAGGTTCAAAGAAGCATAAGCAGATCCATAATTTGCCTAAACATAATATTAAACACTCATAAATACATTTCAACTTGTCCTGTTATTTGCCACAGAATCAATTTTGAATTTTGTTTGAAAAACGACAGTTCAAAATTCCGTGATTTGACAGGATTATTTGCACAAAAGATTTTTTCATGTACCTTGATACAAAGAGAGGATTTCCTTTCCGTTACTAATTTGCTATAACAGATATAACGTGACTACTTTTTTCGCCATTTCATTTTATCCTCAACGTTTACACTTACAGAGATGGAAACACCTGAATCTGCGGTTTCAGACGGAATCACGACGTCAAACTGAACAATTCCATTTCTCGGAACACCTTTGATTATCGATGGTAGGCGTTTCAATTCTGGGTTGAGCAGGGAGGACTCATTATAGATTCTTGGAGGTGCAAAATAGCTTATGCTGATATCAACATTTCCTTCAGCATTTGGTAGAATGGTGCCATCTTGCGCGGTAACTTGAAGCTTTGAAATTAATTTAATACGATAGCTAATGAACTATCGATAGTACCTTATTGTAGTACAAAAATGTCACACATTGTTAACGAGGTTGAAATATAATGACGGTATATGTCTTATCAATTATGTTTTTATTTCAAAATTTTCGATTTTTTTTTATTCTTATCATTCATGCTAATATTTTTATTCAGAATTCCTATCTTATCGACCGTTATGACATACTCTGTTTGTGGTAAATTCATAATAAATTGATAATACATTGTATTCTTCTAAAATTTGACAATATTCAGAATGAAAGAGCACTTGTTCATCCTGACACAAAGAATTTATCATTAAATCAAACTTTGCAATCGATTATTAGTTTGGCAGATCTGTAGCACGTTATACGCTTCCGTGTATGTGACCTGTCAGGATCTTACGTGCGCCTTCAGCTGGTATTTATCAATTTCCTAAATAAATTATTACTCCTTGTAATACATTGAATTGCATCGTAATGATAATTATTCATAATTCATATACAAACCATGATTTTATTATTTCCCAACCAAACACAACGTACATTAGTTCTGAAAAAATCAAATCAGTGTTTACAGTACAATTTAAACAGAAAATATGTTAAATATAAAACATGGAAAATGTAACATATCACTTACAGTTTTGTGGAATTGTTTTTTTTTTTTTTTTTTTTATCGTATAGTATACTTACGATACCATGGTACACAAGCCCAGGCTTGTAAACTTTAGGCAAAACATTTGCAAAAGTAATTTTTTCGTGATATCCATACAGTCCTATATCACTTTTATCCTTGATTTTAACACCAGTTAGACCTTCTGTAACCGTGACGGTGACACGAACTTGAGATGAACTCAGAATGGTGGTTACGTTCTGCATTGGTACGGAAAAATCCATTTCTCCATTGAACTTTGGTAAAGGAAAAACGAAAATAAAAAAATGACATTATAACGGATATCATTCTACAAGTATTTCATGTCATTCGATCATTTTGTTTTTTATTATTGTTATTGAATTCGGCTACAAACAAAGATTATGATAACTTTTTGCTTTCTATGAATATGACATCGTCATGAAAAAAATTATTATGATAACCTCTTTTGTGGTATACCCTTATACTTTCGGAAAACTGGTGCATAACAACACACCTTGTAATGATTCTTCATTCATTTGCTAAATACATAATATTACAAGACTCTTTAATACGTCGGGCAGTAGGATAAGGTATTCCACCCGAGTTGCCACAAAATATAGTAAACCTTGAGGCTTTGCTGAGGGTTTACCACATTGTGTGAGTTCTATGGTAAACAATCCCTTCTTCACCCCGACAAATGAAAGAGTAATTTTCTTTCATTTTGCGTTCTAAAATATTGGGGGAAAATAGATTCACTCGTCGGCAGTGTACTACAAAGGTATCCATATTACATACACATTATATTATTATTATTATTATTTGACACAGGAAATTAGTTCTCTGGTTATGAAAATAACAACGTTTCAAATGTAAATAAAAAATAACTGAATTACATTTCCGAAATGGAGCTTAATCTTGCGGTCGCTTGTAAATGTTGTTTCAAGCAAAACGGTTAGCTTCCCTTTGACAGGCTTTCCGAATGTGTACCTAAAATACGTGTGAAAAGAATACAGTGTGAGAGGTAATTTATGTATGCCTACGCTTATACATAAACATTGTTATACTTGATTTGATAATGTCAGTAGGGCAATCTAGAACAAGTAATCATATTTCAGCATACATTAAAACGTAGAATGAATTAAACTGCATCATACAGCTATTTCATTCTTCCTTCAGTGATACTCATAACCGAAAGTTTGCAGCCTTTCCAAAATCGACTATTGAATGAATGTTAACTCATTAAAGTTTGTTTTGAATAACAGGGCCAAAATGTGATTGAAATCGGGTGCAAAAATGATGTGAAATCTTTCAATTATTAGTATAAGATTTTCACTATCTTGTTAACATCATTGAATTGATAGTATTGTTCGATAGTGGGAAGCTTTAGGTCACAAGAAAATGCCTGTGCTATATGGATGTTAGATTTTTATTGCTTCCAGCTTGTTTTTAATGAGATTTATTTTTCTTTTAATTTTCATTTTTCTTTCATCATGAAATGAACTACTTTCATGTAGCTATAGCACCTATCATTTTAATGAAACAGCTTCATATGTAGTCTTTGCTAATATTAGACGATGCCCATAGATGACTCGATCAGACATGTCAGTAGTATAAACTGAAAATACATGTTTGGTTAAAATGTTTCTCAAACTAATTAAAACAATGACACTTTCGTCTGACTTACTTTGCTGAAACTTTACCGGTAAATTCCTCGTCAGTTGTAACAGCGTACGATGGTAACTCTAGGTTCACCTCATATCTCGGAAGATCTACCAACAACAATCATGTAATGTATTCTATAAACGATGCTTCTAAAATATCTAATATGAATTTGGAAAAGACGTAATTTTCCATGAAATTACTTTCGCATTAGTTATATCAAAGCTGTATTTTTTTCATTTTAATTCACTTTATTTTTTTCCATAAAATCATTTTCCAGATTTGAATGTACATCGTACATGTACAGTATAATAAGCGTTCACTTACCAAACTCGCGGACTTCAAATATCTTTTCTTCCATCGCAATCTGTTGGAAATACAAAACTTGTCTGAGCACTTTAAAAATATAATACTATCGTACCCATAGAGGGCTTTTCTTAGTAACAACATAATTTTGCCCACGAACCAATCTAAACTCTACTGCAAAATTATTGCTGCTTGATAGTCAAGCTTAGCATGAAGGCTCGGCTGATGCCGCTTAGATAGTAAAGAAAATACAGAGCCAAGATTGTTTGATTGACTAACAAACAGATTGATAGCCTTGCGATCGTTTGACATTCTCGGAAAGAGACCTCAGTACAGTCTGACTTTCACGCAACAATCTTAGCTGTTGTCGATGTGTGAGAAGTTTTCATCACAGGTTCTTTAAGTGTGGGTGCATTGCTCCCGTGAAAAACTGTCATATCTTAACATATGTCTAAAATTTTATTTTTCATGTTTGAAATAATATAACTTTTTGCTTTACAAAATGTTGATACACGTTTGGTTTTGATTGTTTGGATTTTTAAACATATTTCATTGGTTGTTTCTCGATGTGTTATAAAGTGGTTCTTGTATTCCTGAATTTACATATTTTTTCATATTTGGATTGAAAGACACAATTAACTCACCAATTGTTCTACTGATATTCGCCAATCGCCTGTATTGGTATATTCGGTTAGCTGTAACTTGCCTTTGAATACACAGGAAGGTGGATCCATGTATGAAATCCATCGTTTGATTCTGTTGTTTTTCGAATCCTACAAATAAACAAATTCAAAGTTACAAGTTCTAAATAAGTTTTAAACCTAACGTTATCAGATTGAACACGTAAAACCAACGCCTGTGAGTTAAACAGTTGAACGTTTACTACCTTGTCATTTGATTGCTGCTAGCGTGACTTGCTTCCTTGACTGTTTATTCAGCTTGGCGCCAACGCCATGTCTTCTCAAGAACGTAATGACTACTGGTCTTAAGATTTCAATATCACATACTGGTAAGTTTTTTCATTGATTGCCAGAACTGTTTCTAATACAAATTCCACTCAAACCATCGCCATCCCGCCGTTCTAAGACACGTTAAGTTGCGAAATGACCCTCACCTCTACCCGAATCCTACCACCCACTGTGCCCTCCTCCGCCACCTCCCCACTGCTCGCTTCTGACAACATTATAAACAAACATTCTGACTACTCCGATACCCTGTAAAATCCGACCAAATCATGTTTTCCGACAGTGTGTCGGATTTTCTGTGTTTCACTGTATATTCAAAATCGGGACACATTTCAAAACAGAACATCATTACTTCTTATGGTTCTATTACATATTCCTTGTACTCAATTAGAGGTATTCGTTAAGAAAACATGGTAATTGGGTTTTTTTAACAGCACACATGAATGAATAGAAAATATACTTACATAAATTGTAATGTTCATTGGAGCAAGAACAACTTTTAGGTCAGAATATGTCCCTATTGCCTTTATCCGCACTGCAACAAGGTTATAATAATCTGAACATGCGTAGAGGAAAACGTCTCAAACATATTCTTTAAGCTTTAATATTTTTAATCTCCTACATCAGAATATAAAAAAGATGTCCAGAAAAACTATTTCTGTGTGTGATATGTAGCTGGGTGTGTTTGATGCTCGTTAGCTTGACTTTTGGTTCCGTTGTTGTATGCCTTGTTCTCATTTCAGAACGTGACATTACTTACTTGGAATGACCAAGATTTACATGTTCGATGTCGCCGAATCTTGATTGTCGCCGATGGAACAGAAAACGCTTACTCTTCCAGAACAGCTGGTATTAATATCCTTCGACTTTTTCAGGACCCTCCGTGTAAACATTTACTTAGTTAAGATTTTTCCCGAGTTTTACTGAATTTAAGTTTGGATTATGATTATGTTGACATGTTGGGGTTTTTTTACAAATCGTAGACAGGTATACGAAGTATGGTTGGTTAGTGTCTAAAGACAAGCTGTATTCTGGGTAGGTTGAAGGAAAATGCTCGCCACCTTTGATATCTTAAGACACTCTCCATTTATTCTATTAAACCTGCAACACTTAGTGAAAATTCAGACTATCGAAACTTTAACAGTCTGTTAGGTCTACGGAATGTTTGTTAAGCTGAATTGTACCTGTTGACGCACGTCAAAAATAAATGCTCTGCACGAAAACAAAGTTCCAAAATTCAATCAAAACACAATTTTATTAATTTCTTAAATAAACTTGTATGTTACCATAATACGTTAAATCGCTTATTTAAACAGTAATTTACTTTTCTAAATGAAAGGTTTCAGTACATCGGGAAGTCATTCTATCGACTTAATGCACGTGTCACTGCCGAAAACAGCAATTATAGATGTGACGGGAGTATTCCAACAATATCAGCGCCAGGTTCAGTATAAAAATAGATGATGCAAAATCTGCTTTTTCGAGAGGTTATAATTACGATAAAGAGTAATATCACGGGGAAAAGTTATCGTAAAAATAGCATTGATAAGGAAAACTGCAGCCCATACAGAGTGAAAGAAATAGGCATTAAAATTTACAAAAGAAAATCATGTTAATCTACGTATACATGTACCTGTTTCACCCGGTCGGTAAACTGCTTTATCGGTTTGTATGAACAGAGATGAAGCTTTTGATGAATACGTCAAAGACACTTCATCTTTAAACTCGAGTCCACCTTGTCCTTCGGAGTGCAATTTATAGCTGCGAGACGGAAGGTCTTTGGGTATCTATATATAAGGTAAGGAATTCAGATAACACTAATTGATATTCCAGTATACCTCTAACTATAAACCACATTGAGATCCTTTTCTGATATATCGCGAAAATAAAGTATACTGTATAAACATTAATTTCATCGTGGGTTTACTTTCGTAGATTCCGTAGGTATTCTTCATCCACGAATTTATTTGTACACGAAGTGTTAAAAGTGCTAAAAGTTTATTTATTGAAATTTTACAAACGAAATCGAGGGTCCACGAAACATATTGAATATACATAATTTTACATTCTTGTTAAGAGAACTGATACTTACTTTCATTCGCAAAAGTTTGGCCTTACCTAAAAACATGAAAATTATAAATCAATCACAACACTTTATCATATTAACAGTACACACATTTTTAGTTGTTGTTGGTTTTAACCATTTCCTTAATCAGGGAAAAAACAGGCAAATCACACTAAAAATATATAAAGATATAAGCATTTAAAGTGTTCCATTTACCAAAACCTCGCTAGGATATTCACTACCAATTATTTCACTTTGATATAACTTGATATCAATCATAATATTTTATGCTTTTGTCGAAATTTATGAATATAGAACGATATAAATTATCTAAAGTGAGAGTTGACTTTTTTTCTTCATTTCTCCTTTCCATCGAATCAAAAATGGACAAAATTACAAATTGGACTAGATTCTACTTTAAGCACTTAAATCTCTTCTTTTCCCTGATTTTCAATTTTCAAATGCGGATACATTATATCGTTTTGTAGTTATTGTGTCTCTGTTTGCTTGGTAAAATGTTTTAATCCGTAGTTTTCTTACAACTTATTGCAATATAGGTGAAATTCCTCGCAAGGATATGTCCTCATTGTTTCTGGTTCATTAACAAACAAAATCTACCTTGATGTACACCTCTCGATTTTTTTGCGTAAACATTGCCGTTCGAATCTGAAATCCTTAAATCTATCTGAACTTTTTCGGTAGCGTTCAATATACGAACAAAGGCGGAAAAGCGTCGTCCTGGACGAATTGTTTTTGGAGCCAGCACGAAATAGGAACTGAAATATGAAAATAGCAGTTTATCCTCTATGTGTTTTATACATACGTCACAATTATTTATAAAAACAACTCCTGTTATCTTTATTTCTTCACTCTCATACCAGTCACAAGGATTACAAAAATGTATTACTTTAAATAGTGTAGATTTATTTTCAAGATAGCAGCTTTTCGCGATTTCCTAAAAATGAATAAAGAACAAATTTGATATAAGAAGAAACTGGTCGAGATTACCGGTTTTTCACGCGGAGCAAATGTACAAAGGTACATACAAAATACACCAAATAGAATTTAAAAAATTGTACTTTGCTATCCCTCGTAGGGTACGAATATGTTAGTCTCAAAGAGCCAGACCCACTCCTCGACCGATATTATTTTATATTAAAAAAAAATCATAATTTTCTTTTTTTCTCGGGTAGCAAAAGTTCTGACTAACCCTGTAATACCGCAATTTTAAAGTAAATCGCTACCAATCTAACGTAATGAATAGTTTCAAAAAAGAATTCGAAACGACTCAGTGCTAATTCATAATTATGCGGGAAGTCCTGCCCTCTGACGCATGCGTAAGGAACTGTAAATAAATCTGCCGTCTTCCAACATGGCAGAAAGCGTGCGAGGGAAGCGGGGAAGAAAACGTGTTTTGACGGACTCTGAGGCGAAAAGAAGGAAGATGGATGGTTCATACTGTGTATCGCTCTCTGTTTGGCTCTCACGTGTAGTATCACTCTAAAATTATATTCATAAGTACTCTTGTCATCGAATATTCACCTTAGATAAATCCATTTCGCGATGTTCTATTTGTTCGTTACCGTATCGTAGCCCCCATTTGAGGGCCTCTTTGCAATTAATCGCAGTTTTTCTCGTAATTTGCAAGTTTTTGTGTCAAACCTAAGCATTGGAAGATGTGATCAATACATACGTTAGATGATTTCCATACAGGATATATAGAGTATTGATTGCATTTATCGGTAAATATCTTTACAAGCGATGTCACACGGACGTACTATTCACGTCTTCCTTCAATTTTGGTTTTGTTCTAACCGCGTCTGAACGTATCACGTGACTTTTCCTCATCAATATTCATATCCTGGTGTTGAGTAATGAGACTAATTCCGGCACCGACATCTCCGGTACCCTTTCAATTTCAAGTTCGAAACTTTATACAAGTCTTTATTTATATATTATTTATTAGTATACAACAACATTTCCAGTCAATAAATATGAAAAATATCTATAACGGAGTGGGTCTGGCTCTTTAATCCTGATATCACACTATTTCCATCAATATTGGTATAATTTTAGTGCACAGTGCACCACAAAAACACACATATATTTCATCTTCTGTATGATACAATAATTGCATGTTTATGAGGTCAATCCGAAAGATCAGTGATTGTTACGGAGCCCGTTTACTGACATGATATATACTTATTTTATTTCGATATTTCGTTTTTTCGAAATATTAATTCGTTTTTTTCGAAAAAATATTTCGTTTTGAAACCTTGAACGTGTCATGAGTTACTGAGGTGTTTTGGTCCTTATTGTAGGCTGTGATTATGTTTATGAAACAAATTTCAATTGGAAAACATGAATTATGAAAGGAAATAATTTAGTAGAGAACAGCACAGGAGTCCACTGTCCAGGTCTTGTGATATACACACGACCACATTCTTTATCTAGAAATTAAGTAAATTGAGTGTCATAGATCTACATGTAGAGAATATGCCAGTAATTTTTTGAATGAGTCCAGAACACAAATTCCAAAATTTGTGATTAGTCCCACTACTTAGACATATACTGGGTCTTCAAAATTTGAGTGAGTCATTAGAGTCACATAGAAGAAAATACGAGTCCAGGACTCAAATATCCAAGTCCCAAAAATCAGTGGTATATGTATCCTATACTGTACAGTACATTATTGGAACCTCAAGGGCACATGTAATAAATATAATCGAAGGTGTCATAATTTTTGCTATATATCATTAGAAAATGTATTATTGCAACCTGTTGAGAATATATCTATTCTATTTTTGATCATTTAGGGGAGTGGGTACACAATACAAATACAATGTCAGTTTTAATAACAGGTCTAATGTTTTCTTTTATTTATAAAAAAAATTCAGTTGAAAATTTTATTACAGAGTTCTAATTACATATATGCAGCTTGATGGCAATGCTTACAACTTGTACACATATATATTATATATATATGTATAACAGGTCTTTGGTTTAGCTTAAACTGGATGCATCTCCACTCTCCTCAGTACTAACAACTGAAAACCTTTTGTGTTTATTATCTTTGAAAAGTAACTAGTTGCAGTTCTGATCTTTCTGGATCTAAAATGCTCATTAATATTCTAACTTCTTCTTTCCTTTCTT